CTTGGTCACACACAGTCCCGCTGCTTCGCCCATCTGAGTGACGCCTGGCGTAACGAGTTTGGCGACGAGGCTCAGCTCCCCGACTGGGTGGAGCTGCTTGGGCAGAGGGTAGATATATTTGCTCTTGACTATGATGCTATTCTCACTGCCATGTATGCATTGCCTACTAGTGCTGACGGTGCCTGTTACCTGTGCGTACCGCCTGACCTAGGTATAGAGCCTGCCGCCCCAGGTGCTGGTGAGTCTGCTCTCTCTGGTACTGCGCCTGCTGAGGCCGTGTACACCTTCACACTTGACTCTGGTGCTTCTCGATCCTTCTTTCGCGACAGCACCACCCTCACGCCGCTCAGTCGGCCGGTTCCAGTCTCCCTGGCAGACCCCTCTGGGGGTCCAGTCCGTGCGACCTCCTCCACTGTCCTCCCTTGTCCTGCTGTCCCGTCTGGCACACTGTCGGGTCTTTACCTCCCCTCGTTCTCTACGAACTTGGTGGCGGGTTCTGCGCTCCAGGACGCGGGTGTTCACCAGTTCACCCCTGCCTACAAGCGTGTGACACACTGCACGTGTGCTCAGACGGGTCGTCACCTGGCTACGTTCACTCGGCAACCTGGGTCGGGCCCGTACACACTGACCACTGAGTCCCCTCAGGTAGCTGCGTCTGCGTCTGCGTCAGGTCAGTTGTCGGCCCCCTGCTCGTGTCGCGCCTTGTCGCACCAGACGGTCCTTTGGCACCACCCCTCGGTGCAGCGCCTTCGTAGCATGCACCGCCGTGTCCTTGTCTCTGGTCTTCCCAGGGTTCTCCCTCCCCTCCCACCCTCGCCTGCTCCTTCCTGTCTTCCCTGTGTCGAGGGGCGGCAGCGCGCCGCTCCTCACTCCTCCTCGTTCCCTCCCACAGAGGCTCCCCTGCAGACTCTCCACCTGGACGTGTGGGGCCCAGCCCGCGTCCGTGGACAGGGCCACGAGCGGTACTTCCTGCTGGTCGTCGACGACTACACGCGTTACACCACGGTCTTCCCCTTGCGCACCAAGGGTGAGGTCCCTGGTGTTTTGATCTCTTGGATCCGCGCTACTCGTCTCCAGCTCCGCGAGCAGTTCGGGACGGAGTTTCCCGTCCTGCGTCTGCACTCTGACAGAGGTGGTGAGTTTTCCTCCGACCTCTTGGCAGCCTTCTGTGAGGAGCACGACATCACCCAGTCGTTCACGCTTCCGGCCTCTCCGCAGCAGAATGGGGTTACTGAGCGCCGCATTGGCTTAGTCATGGAGGTCGCTCGTACCTCCATGATCCATGCGGCTGCCCCCCATTTTCTGTGGCCGTTTGCGGTCCGGTACGCCGCGCATCAGCTCAACCTCTGGCCCCGTGTCTCCTTGCCGGAGACTTCGCCCACACTGCTGTGGACGGGGAAGGTTGGCGATGCGTCGCGTTTCCGGGTCTGGGGTGCTCGTGCCTTTGTCCGCGATACCACCGCGGACAAGCTCTCTGCCCGCGCTGTTCCCTGTGTCTTCCTTGGCTTTGTCCCTGACGCGCCTGGTTGGCAGTTTTACCACCCCACCTCGCGCCGTGTCTTCCCCTCTCAGGACGTCACGTTCGACGAGTCGGTTCCCTTTTACCGTCTCTTCCCCTACCGCACTGCCCCTCTCCCCCCCCCGCCGCTCTTCCTAGCTCCAGGTGCTCCCCAGGTAGACCCCCTCCCCACTCCCTGTCGTGCTCCTTCAGGTGTGTCTCCGGTAGACCCTCTTCCCTTGACTGCGCCGGTTGAGGTCACTGGTGACTCCGGTTCTGCTGAGGGTGGTCCTGCTCGAGCCTGGGGGTGCGGAGTCTGGAGCTGCTGAAGGTGCTGGAGCTGGAGGTTCTGGAGCTGCTGAGGGTACTGGCGCTGAGGGTTCTGAGTCTGCTGTTGTGCGGTCTCCCTGGAGTAGCCGCCTTCGTCCGCGTGTGCCTCTCACCTCACAGCAGCTGCACGACTGGTACGGTCGCCGTCAGGGTCGCGCTTCTGGAGCTCGAGGCTCTGCCGCTGGAGGTATTTCTGCTGTCGTCACTGGATCTGGGAGTGGTGCTGGTCCCGGAGGTGCTCGTACTGGAGGTACTGGAGCTGCTGGGGCTGGAGGTGCTGCTGAGTCTGAGGGTGCTGCTGCTGGAGACCCTGGGTCTGGGGGTGCTGCTGCTGGAGACACTGAGGCTGGAGACCCTAGGACTGGAGGTACTGGTTCTGGGGGTGCTGCTGCTGGTGGAGCTGGTCCTGGAGGAGCTGGCGCTGAGGGTCCTGGAGTTGCTGGAGGTGCTGGAGCTGCTGGGGGTGCTGGAGCTTCTGGTGCTGGTGGCACTGCACAGCCGCGCCTGTTCTTCGCTCCACTGTCTCTGTCGTTTCAGCCACCGCCTGACTCTGTGCTTCGCCAGGTTCTTAGTCTCCCTTCGTCTACTGGTCTTCCGTTACAGCCTGGCTCACCGCTGCCTGCTCCTTCTCCTTACACTGAGCAGACAGGGGGTTTTGCTGAGCGTCGTGAGCCTGCGTCACGTCCTGTCTCGCCTGTCCGTTCTCGTAGTTCCGGTCGTCGTGTTCCTCGTTCGCGTCAGCCGGCTGTCCTCGGCACTCACCTCGTAGTTCGTCGTCCTTCCTCTCCTCCGCAGCGTGTTCCCCTGCCGTCTCCTCCTGCGTCTTCTCTGCCTACCGTTCCTGAGCCTGAGTCTGACCGCACTCGTGCTGCTCACTCTACTGTCACGCGTCTGCTAGCCACAGTTGTCACTGACCCTTCCTTTGAGTCTGCTGCTGCGTCTGCCTTTGTTGCTGAGCTTGTTGACTTTGCTGCTGCCTGTCGTCTAGACTACGCCGCTAGTCTTGTTGCTGAGTCTGAGTCTGTCTGTCCTCCGTCCGTCGGGGGTGAGTGTGCTCTTGTCACGGACGTCCTTGAGGATAGGCAGGATGACCTTGAGTGTCTTGCAGCCGCTGCGCCTCATCTCGTGTCCATGCTGCTTGCCCCTGAGGGAGACCCGGATGCTCCAGACATCCCGACCCTGCGCTCTTACGCTGAGGCGATCGCGGGTGAGCACTCCTCTCAGTGGCAGACAGCCATGGACGCAGAGATGGCATCCTGGAAGTCCACAGGCACCTACGTCGACGAGGTTCCCCCTCCTGGGGCGAACATCGTCAGTGGCATGTGGATCTTCAGGGTGAAGCGGCCGCCAGGTTCTCCGCCTGTCTTCAAGGCTCGTTACGTTGCTCGAGGTTTCAGTCAGCGAGAGGGAGTAGACTTCTTCCAGACCTTCTCCCCCACCCCGAAGATGACCACTCTTCGGGTGCTGCTGCACGTTGCCGCTCAGCGTGACTACGAGCTTCACTCTCTTGACTTCAGCACTGCTTTCTTACAGGGCAGCCTGCACGAGGAGATCTGGCTGCGCCGCCCTCATGGCTTCACTGGGTCGTTCCCTCCTGGTACCCAGTGGAGCCTCCGGCGGCCAGTCTACGGTCTCCGTCAGGCGCCGCGTGAGTGGCACGACACACTGAGGACGACACTTGCGGCTCTTGGGTTTGTTCCGTCGACTGCTGACCCGTCGCTGTTTCTAAGCTCCGACACTTCGCTTCCGCCGTTCTACATCCTCGTGTACGTCGACGACTTGGTCTTTGCCACTGCTGACACTGAGGCTCTCGCCCTGGTGAAGTCGGAGCTGCAGAAGAGACACACGTGCACAGACCTGGGTGAGCTGCGCAGCTATCTTGGCTTGCAGATCACCCGGGACAGAGCACGCCGCACCATCACACTGACTCAGTCACACATGGTGCAGCAGGTCCTTCAGCGCTTCGGCTTCACCTGGTCCTCAGCACAGGCCACTCCTCTGGCTACAGGTCACTCGCTCTCAGCTCCACCTTCGGACGAGTCCGTAGAGCCGAGTGGTCCGTACCCAGAGCTAGTGGGCTGCCTCATGTACCTGATGACCTGCACTCGTCCTGACCTTGCGTACCCTCTTGGCCTTCTGGCTCGCTACGTGGCTCTTGGTCGGCACCGAAAGGTGCACATGGATGCTGCTAAGAGGGTACTGCGCTACTTGTGCAGTACATCAGGCATGGGGCCCTTGCTTGGAGGGAAGAACTCAGTTGTTCTCACTGGGCACTCAGACGCTTCTTGGGTTGACGACCAGGCTACTCAGCGGTCGTCACAGGGTTACACCTTCAGCCTTGGCTCTGGTTCAGTTTCGTGGCGTTCTACACGCTCGTCTTCAGTTCTCAGCTCCAGTTGTGAGGCTGAGATCTACGCCACAGCCATGGCTGCACAGGAGTTACGCTGGCTCACCTACCTGCTGACTGACTTGGGAGAGCGGCCTCGTTCTCCTCCAGTGCTGTACGTCGACAACAAGGCTACCATTGCCTTGTGTGAGGAGCACAGACTGGAGCACAGAACGAAGCACATCGCTCTGCGTTACTTCCTGGCTCGAGAGTTGCAGCAGCGTGGTCAGCTTCGTCTGCGTTACGTGGCCACTCGGGCCAACACTGCTGATATATTCACCAAGGCACTTCACGCTGGTGATCATCAGCGTTTGTGCACTATGCTAGGGCTTGTGCCCACTTTTCCTCACTTGCTGTAGGACTTGCTTGTACTGTGATCTATATATATATACCTGCATGCTTGCATTGCTGGGTAGAGTTCATTGTGATGTTTGTGTTGCATATATGCCTCTGCATGTGAACTGGCCTTGTGGCCCTTTGCTTGTGCTCGGTGTGTGTGGTGACGTTGTGATCCACCCTGAGCTTGCTTTGCTTTTCTTGACTGGTCTTGTGATCTCCTGCTCTCCCCCACTTTGCCTATGGGGATGTGTCAAACATATATATATATGTTAGTGTTATTGCTAGGCTGTAGTGGGGTAGATAGTGTGGGGTATAACCCCTTAGGGTTTTCCTCTTGTACCAACTCTCTCGACACTCGAATTCACCCTTGCCTAAGTCTCGACAAGGACTGCTACTGAGGTTGTTGGAACAGGAACGAGGGAAGTCCCAAACATGGAATAGTATGGCTTACAGCCCTGTGGCGCCCATCTGCCTTGCTCTCTGCACCGCCGCCCGCTTTGCCGCCACCATTCTCTGCACCTCCTCCTGGTGCCGCTGCTGTGCCTGATGGGCCTGCTGGGCCCCGCTTCCTATTGCTGCTGTGCCACCCCCCACCGCCCCAATACCAACAGTTGCGCCCCTTACTGTTGCGACCTCTCCACTCATGCTGCTGCCAACAGCAGCCTCAGCAGCAGAAGCTACAGGTGGCAGTGGTGGCACAGGTGACTGGGTGGCGACGGAATGGGGTCTGAGAGGAGGTTGAGGGAGAGGCGAGAAACGGAGGAGAGAGTGAGTGAGGGTGGGAAGATGTGGGGGACAAAAAAGGAAGATCTGGGCATCGGATATTTGGAATTGGGCAAGAGCGGGTGTGGTCGATAGTTGACTTGGTTGAGGGCAGACGGGATCCTAAGAGAGGCCGAGTGCAGAATCACAGAAACACGGAAACACGGTGAGGAAGCAGAGACTCCCAGTGCAGCACGTGTGCTGTGGAACACTGGAACGGGGTGCTTCTAAAGGAGGAGTGCAAAAAAATGGAGGACATAGATTTAGTCCAGCTGAGTGCTTTCAAGGGCGGAGGGCAAAGACAGAGAAGCAGCGTACCTCGATGGCACCGGCTCTGCACTGCCGGCTGCTTGCATGGCTCCTGCTGCGGTCGGCTCAGAGGCAACAGAGGCTTGCTGCAGGGTTAGAGGCGAAGGCGGGTGGACGTTGGGGGAGGATGGATGCACTCCAGCAGCTGGTGATTATGATGATGATTAGATTGGTGTTGGACGTAGGGAGGGGTGAATAAGAGGGAGGGAGGTTGAATGCCGGAGGGGAGGAGGGTCAATGCGAGGGAGGAGGGAGGAGAGGAGGGTGAGTGCGAGAGAGCGAATGAGCAAGAGAGGGAGGTTGAATCGAAAAGTGGAAGTCTCCACCGGGAGCCAATCAAAGAATACCAATAACGTGGAAACGAGGCCGGGAAAGTGTGTGGTCACGCACCTGAAGTGTGTAGCCACGCACCTGAAGTGTGTGATCAAGCATGTGAAACCGAAATTGCGATTGTAAGAAGCCGTGCCTTCGTGGACACAAAAGTAAAAGGTCCCTTAGCTTAGCTTAAATCAACCCCTGGTTCTAAGAGATCACCCTAAAGAAAATGCCTGTGCGAAACCTAGATCCAACCGATGGCCGTTAGTCTTACATGCAGATGACGTGGCAGCGGAGGCAGGGAATGAAAATCCAGGTGGACCCACAGCAGGAGCAGCTGATTGCCCGCCTCCAGTACCTCCCACTGACGTGGCAGGCGCGTGGTGGTGGTCCCGTGGCTTGCCTGCGTGGTCATGATCCTTTTCGTCTGCATATGGTCGACTGGGAGGGGAGAGCAGGGGAACATAAGTCAGCATAATATTTTGTTCTTTTTCCGTATCCATACGTCTGTGCCACCATCCCCATTCTCTCAGCCTATCCCAAACAGAGAAGGCAGTAGCAGACTCTTTCCAAAACTCCCTAACAGCAGAGTCGTACCTTGGTGCTCTCACCTCCACCTCTTCTCTCTTCGGCTCACCCACTCTCCACTCCTCCTCCTCCTCCACCTCCTCCTCCTCCTCCCTTCCATCCTCCTTAGCACCACTCCCCGCACCTGCATTCGGTGCCACTAACAACACTCCTTCCGGTCCCGCTGCTGCTGCTGTCGCTTCTGCGGGTGTCTCTCCGATCCTAGGAGCCATGCCCCCTCCTGCTACTTTGACTTTGGACCAAGGGAGAGACGGAGGAGGGCGAGAACGATCAGCATACACCCGCCAATCGGCGTTTGAGGCGCAGGGGTTGGCGTGGTCAGGGCAGGGAGAAGGGGAGTTCAGAAGGCAAGAGGAGGGGCAGGGAGAAGGAAAGGAGGAGCGAATGGAGGGGCAGGAAGAAGGAAAGGAGGAGCGAATGGAGGGGCAGGGAGAAGGAAAGGAGGAGCGAATGGAGGGGCAGGGAGAAGGAAAGGAGGAGCGAATGGAGGGGCAGGGAGAGGGGGTTGCAGTGGTGGAGGATGAAGAGAGGGAGACGTTCTTGTATGTAGACGATGAGAGGTTCAACGAGTGCACTCAGCTGTTCAACAGAGTGAGTGGTTGCTTGCTTTTTCATCGCATATTTCAGAAAATCAACACAGCGGTTGCGCACAGTTGTTTAGAACTCTAATATTCTCTTTAGAGACTTCTCTCAAGTTGCCTTTGATCCTATTTTTCTGGACATTGCAGTTACTTTGCTACCTGCTGTCAAGGTCTTGAACTGTGGCTTATCAAAATGATCTCACTCCTAACTTCACGTTTTTTTCTCCCACTACTCTCACCTGTGTGCCTTGCCATGCCTTTTGAGTCAGCTCAGTACTCGTACTTACCCGCCTTGCTTGCTCATACCTGACTTACTCTGTTTGTCTGCCCTCGTTATCCACCCACCTGCCATCTCCCATGCAGCATGCCCCTCGGGATCTCCTCCCATTCATGTTCAGACACGGCCGCTACTGCTCTGTCTGCTAGCTCATTTTCTTCCCCCCCCCCTCCTCCCCACCCTTCCTCCTCCTCCTCCCCTTCTCTCTCATCCACACCTGAGCACAACAGCACCACCCCCACCACCGCCACCGCCACCGACACTCTCCCAAACCACTTGGCCCCTATGCCACCCACATTTTCGCTCAGCCCGGCTCGGCCCTCTCTGTCCTCGTTATTAGACTGGGATCCGTTAAAGTAAGAGTAGGCTGCTGTAGAAGAGTTATGCGTGCTGTTTGACGTACGGAGCGGTTTAGGTGCTGGAAAGAGTGGTGGCAGAAGCGCTAGGAAGGAGTGCAGACAGCATGGGCGAGTGGCAATGTCAAGTGCCTGGCGGCAAACGACTCCATTGCAAGGAGGTGGGGTTGAGAGCACCGAGGTACGACTCTGCTGTGAGGGAGTCTTGGAAAGAATCTACTACTGCCTTCTCTGTTTGGGAGAGACTGAGTGGTGATGGGAGAGTGGGGACAGGAGGGAGGAAGATAGAAAAAGCATAAGACGTCTTGTGAGGGCACAGCGCCCCTGTTGTGAGAGAGTGGGTGAGCTGAAGAGGGAGGAGGTGGAGGTGAGAGCACCAGGGACTAGCGCTGGAACGAATGACTGAAGCACAGAGGGAATGACGGCGACGTTGAGACAACGGCGGCAGGGTGTTGATTCTGACTGCTAGCCGGCTGTGGTAGCAGGAGGGAGTACACAGGGTCGAATAGCAAACGCGACGAACACAAGGTTCGACTGAATGACGCAAAAATGCCTCCCTCACCTCCCGTACGCGGCTCTCTCAGGCTCACCTTCGGTTCGCCGCCGCTCTCTCGCAACTTGCGGGCTAGTGTCCGCTTGAGGGTCGATTTCCGCGTATGTATCCAAGGTGACTCCCATCCTCACGATAAGCTGATCCGATTTGGGACAACGGGCGTTGAAACTAGCCGCTAATCACGTACCCGCGATGCGCTGACCGGCGCCGCCTGACGTCGGAAGCTGGCCGCGCGTCGGCCATGGAAACTCGGATGGTAACCGTTCAAAGAAACTGGAATGGATTCTGGTTGCTGGGATCACATGATCATCACAGGATCATCCATGATGGAAACATCTGGGAAGGCGATTTCAGAATGTTATTGATGAAAGTGATTCTCGTGTCGCATCCTGTGCAGCATGACGGCTAACCCAGCGGCTCGTCATTTCGGAAATACCAGATAGCTGCGTCACAAAAAATGGGACGCCCAAAAGCTGTCAACAATTGGCGTATCCAGCAAGCATGCGCATCCGGGCATGGCCTAGAAAGTTGTTAGCACACACAAAGCAATCATTTCGAGCCAAGAAATGCAGATGCACTGGCACTGTGTAGCTGCGCAATGGAACCCCTTTCACATTGTGTTTCTTGGAGGGGTGCGTGTTTCATTTGGTTCTTCGTTACAGCAGGCCTCGCATGTTGTTTCGGTAGTACAGTACCTTTTCGAAACTTAAAACGATCGTGACGGATGAAAAATTGTGCCACATATAAGGCTTTGCTGACGCGTCAGAAACGGAGTGGATGGTACTCTGCAGTGTCACAACTGGATGTGACAGCACGGATGAGACTGGGGGCTTGGTGACGCACGACCTGAAAACTCAGGGTTTCGTGATACATCCTTCGCCAGCCTTCGTCACGCGAATTTCGGATCCATTTTCATGTTACACCCCACACTACACGTCAACTTTTCGACTTCGCACAACAACTCGTTAGATTCTCACCAACCTGCACGTGCGACACCACACCACAGCAACGATCGTTGGTGCACAAGGAGCTTCCTCTTTCTTCAAAGTGCATCCCTAGTCCTACATTTTCTCGCCACACTTCTTCTCGGATCATTTGCTCCTCATTTTCTCGTCACCTGTGCCACTTCAGCTTCTCGAAACATTTGCTCCTCGTTTTCTCATAACCTGCGCTGGAAGTTCGGGCGTTTCTATAGATGTTTTTGTTTTTGTTTTTTATGTTCGTGGTCTTCTGTCCTCCCGCTGCCAGGTCGTCGATGTCAGAATATTATTGTATACATCACTTTATAACTGCCTGCAATGTAGACTTAGTGCAGTTATCTTGCTTGTTAGGTGGTGCACCTTGCTTCTCTTCTTTCATATTTGTACCCTTGAACCTATAGTGAAACCCTCATTCTCCTTTACAATTTTCTCGACACTCTCCTCACCCTCGAACTTAACTACCAAGGCTCCTAAGCTATGGCTCCCAAGCCCACCTAACTCTACCTACTACTTTCACATGGAATCAGAGCGACTACGCTCTTGGCCTGTGGGCCCCACGTGCTTCCGTTGCTTTCTTTTCTGTCGCGCGCCCCGTGGCGCGCGACACTTTTTTCTTCCCGCCACGCGCTCGGGGCGCGTGGCGGTTTTCCGCCCGCCGTGCGCCCCGGACGCGCGGCGTCTTCCTGCCCCGACGCCGCCCTTCTCGGCCCCTCACGGCCTCTTCGCGGCCCCGTCGCTGCTCCTCTCACGGCCCCTCGCGCTACCCTCAGTGGCCCCGTCGCCACACTTCGCGGCCCTGTCGCCGCCCCATCTCGGCACCGTCGCCGCCTTTAGCGGCCCCGTTGCCGCCCCTAGCGGCCCCGTCGCCGCTCTTCGCGGCCCCGTTGCCGCCCCTAGCGGCTCCGTTGCCGCCCCTTGTGGCCCTGTCACCTGCTCGTCGCGGCGCACCCCCCCCTGGCCGCCGCCTCTGCCTCCCTTGCGCCCGTGCCTGCTTTGCAGCAGCACGCGGGCCTGCCTTGCAACAGCAGCCGCCCCTGGAGCAGCCACCCCAGCAGCAGCCGCCCCAGCAGCAGCCGCCCCTGGAGCAGCCGCCGCTGCAGCAGCCGCCCCTGGAGCCGCCGCCCCTGGAGCAGCCGTCACTGCAGCAGCCGCCCCTGGAGCCGCCACTGCAGCAGCAGCCCCAGCAGCAGCCGCCCCTGGAGCAGCCGCCGCTGCAGCAGCCGCCCCTGGAGCAGCCGTCACTGCAGCAGCCGCCCCTGGAGCAGCCCGCAACTGCAGCAGCCGCCCCTGGAGCAGCCCGCACCTGCAGCAGCCGCCCCTGGAGCAGCCCTCACCTGCAGCAGCCGCCCCTGGAGCAGCCTGCACCTGCAGCAGCCGCCCCTGGAGCAGCCCGCACCTGCAGCGGCCGCCCCTGGAGCAGCCCGCACCTGCAGCCCGTCCCGTTCCCCCCCCCCCCCCCCCCCCCGTGCATTCCGTGGTGCTGGGGGTGTGGGGTGCCGAGCATGGGGGTGGCGGGTGTGGGGGTGGCGGTTATGTGTTCCTCCCCTTGCTCCTCCTCCTCCCTCGTCTCCCACTGCTGCAGCTGTCGCTGAGGGGGGTGGGTGTGTGGGAGCCTAGGGTTTAGGGTTTAAGGGGGGTGCTGTGGGAGTGGAGCTAGGGTTTGAACAGGGAGTGTGTGAGAGGGGAGTGGGGCAGCTGGGGGAGGTTGTGTGAAGGTAGCTGTCGTGTCGCCTGCAGCACCTGTAGTCCGTCGCCCTTGCTTCGGTAGCCAGTGAGCCTGTTGCACCAGTCGCCAGTGGGTCCGTTGCTCCTGCCGCTCGTCTATAGCCGCGGAGCCAGTCACTCCAGTAGTCCGTCGCCCTTGCTTCGGTAGCCACTGAGTCAGCCGCTCCTGTGCCCGTGCCTCTGCAGCTTCAGTCGTTGCCTCGCATCTTCTCTTCCTCCACAGTCTCTCCTCCTCATTTGCCCTCTCTGTCTGCTGCGCTCTGCTTGGTGTACCCCTTCCGGGGGTGTTTCTGCACATGGTTCTTCACTGCAGGCAGTTAGGGGGTGTGTCAGAATATTATTGTATACATCACTTTATAACTGCCTGCAATGTAGACTTAGTGCAGTTATCTTGCTTGTTAGGTGGTGCACCTTGCTTCTCTTCTTTCATATTTGTACCCTTGAACCTATAGTGAAACCCTCATTCTCCTTTACAATTTTCTCGACACTCTCCTCACCCTCGAACTTAACTACCAAGGCTCCTAAGCTATGGCTCCCAAGCCCACCTAACTCTACCTACTACTTTCACAGTCGAGGGTCTGCTTTGCGAGGCAGTATTAAGGAAGTTATTCCGACAGCTTCCATGCCTGCGTCACTGGCGTTATAGTCAGACGCGTATAGTCGCTGCGCAAATCGCGTTGATATCAGGTGAGATTTTTCACGCCAACGACGCATTCTATAACATGCATCTCGTCTGTGCC